CCTCCATGTGTACATTACCAATATGTAGCCTCAGTGTATACGTGGGCAGTATGTAGACCCTGTGTGTACACAGACAATATTTAGCCTCCATGAGTACACAGTCAGTATGTAGCTCCCATGGGTAGAGAGTCAGTATGTAGATCCCATGGGTAGAGAGTCAGTATGTAGATCCCATGGGTAGAGAGTCAGTATGTAGATCCCATGGGTAGAGAGTCAGTATGTAGATCCCATGGGTAGAGAGACAGTATGTAGATCCAATAGGTTGAGAGTCAGTATGTAGATCCCATGGGTAGAGAGTCAGTATGTAGCTCCCGTGGGTAGAGAGTCAGTATGTAGATCCCATGGGTTGAGAGTCCGTATGTAGATCCCATGGGTAGAGAGTCAGTATGTAGATCACATGGGTAGAGAGTCAGTATGTAGCCCCCATGGGTAGAGAGTCAGTATGTAGCCCCCATGGGTAGAGAGTCAGTATGTAGATCCTATGGGTAGAGAGTCAGTATGTAGCCCCCATGGGTAGAGAGTCAGTATGTAGATCCCATGGGTAGAGAATCATTATGGAGAACCCATGGGTAGAGAGTCAGTATGTAACCCCCATGGGTAGAGAGTCAGTATGTAGATCCTATAGGTAGAGAGTCAGTATGTAGATCCCATGGGTAGAGAGTCAGTATGTAGACCCCATGGGTAGAGAGTCAGTATGTAGATCCCATGGGTAGAGAGTCAGTATGTAGATCCTATGGATAGAGAGTCAGTATGTAGCTCCCGTGGGTAGAGAGTCAGTATGTAACCCCCATGGGTAGAGAGTCAGTATGTAGATCCTATGGGTAGAGAGTCAGTATGTAGATCCCATGGGTAGAGAGTCAGTATGTAGATCCCATGGGTAGAGAGTCAGTATGTAGATCCCATGGGCAGAGAGTCAGTATGTAGATCCTATGGGTAGAGAGTTAGTATGTAGCTCCCGTGGGTAGAGAGTCAGTATGTAGATCCAATGGGTAGAGAGTCAGTATGTAGCCCCCATGGGTAGAGAGTCAGTATGTGGCCCCCATGGGTAGAGAATCAGTATGTAGCTCCCGTGGGTAGAGAGTCAGCATGTAGCCCCCATGGGTAGAGAGTCAGTATGTAGCTCCCGTGGGTAGAGAGTCAGTATGTAGATCCCATGGGTAGAGAGTCAGTATGTAGATCCCATGGGTAGAGAGTCCGTATGTAGATCCCATGGGTAGAGAGTCAGTATGTAGATCCCGTGGGTAGAGAGTCAGTATGTAGATCCTATGGGTAGAGAGTCAGTATGTAGATCCTATGGGTAGAGAGTCAGTATGTAGATCCCGTGGGTAGAGAGTCAGTATGTAGATCCTATGGGTAGAGAGTCAGTAAGTAGATCCCATGGGTAGAGAGTCAGTATGTAGATCCCATGGGTAGAGAGTCAGTATGTAGATCCCATTAGTAGAGAGTCAGTATGTAGCCCCCATGGGTAGAGAGTCATTATGTGGCCCCCATGGGTAGAGAATCAGTATGTAGCTCCCGTGGGTAGAGAGTCAGTATGTAGATCCCATGGGTAGAGAGTCAGTATGTAGATCCCATGGGTAGAGAGTCAGTATGTAGATCCCATGGGTAGAGAGTCAGTATGTATATCCCATGGGTAGAGAGTCAGTATGTAGATCCCTTGGGTAGAGAGTCAGTATGTAGCCCCCATGGGTAGAGAGTCAGTATGTAGATCCCGTGGGTAGAGAGTCAGTATGTAGATCCTATGGGTAGAGAGTCAGTATGTAGATCCCATGGGTAGAGAGTCAGTATGTAAATCCCATGGGTAGAGAGTCAGTATGTAGATCCCATGGGTAGAGAGCCAGTATGTAGATCCTATGGGTAGAGAGTCAGTATGTAGATCCCATGGGTAGAGAGTCAGTATGTAGCTCCCGTGGGTAAAGAGTCAGTATGTAGATCCAATGGGTAGAGAGCCAGTATGTAGCCCACATGGGTAGAGAGTCAGTATGTAGATCCGATGGGTAGAGAGTCAGTATGTAGATACCATGGGTAGAGAGTCAGTATGTAGATCCAATGGGTAGAGATTCAGTATGTAGATCCCGTGGGTAGAGAGTCAGTATGTAGATCCCGTGGGCAGAGAGTCAGTATGTAGATCCCGTGGGTAGAGAGTCAGTATGTAGATCCCTTGGGTAGAGAGTCAGTATGTAGATCCAATGGGTAGAGAGTCAGTATGTAGCCCCATGGGTAGAGAGTCAGTATGTAGCTCCCGTGGATAGAGAGTCAGTATGTAGATCCCATGGGTAGAGAGTCAGTATGTAGATCCCATGGGTAGAGAGTCAGTATGTAGATCCTATGGGTAGAGAGTCAGTATGTAGCTCCCATGGGTAGAGAATCAGTATGTAGATCCAATGGGTAGAGAGTCAGTATGTAGATCCCATGGGTAGAGAGTCAGTATGTAGATCCCATGGGTAGAGAGTCAGTATGTAGCTCCCATGGGTAGAGAGTCAGTATGTAGATCCCATGGGTAGAGAGTCAGTATGTAGATCCCATGGGTAGAGAGTCAGTATGTAGATCCCATGGGTAGAGAGTCAGTATGTAGCTCCCATGGGTAGAGAGTCAGTATGTAGATCCCATGGGTAGAGAGTCAGTATGTAGATCCCATGGGTAGAGAGTCAGTATGTAGATCCCGTGGGTAGAGAGTCAGTATGTAGATCCCATGGGTAGAGAGTCAGTATGTAGATCCCATGGGTAGAGAGTCAGTATTTAGATCCCGTTGGTAGAGAGTCAGTATGTAGATTCCGTTGGTAGAGAGTCAGTATGTAGCCCCCATGGGTAGAGATTCAGTATGTAGCTCCCATGGGTAGAGAGTCAGTATGTAGATCCCATGGGTAGAGAGTCAGTATGTAGCTCCCATGGGTAGAGAGTCAGTATGTAGATCCCATGGGTAGAGAGTCAATATGTAGATCCTATGGGTACACAGCTAAACTGTTGCCTCCATGCGCACATTTCCATTATATAGCCTCCATACGTACATAGCTGAGTATGTAGCATCTATGCGTACACTACCAACGCGAAGCCCGCATGCGTACGTAGGCAGTAAGTAGCCTTGATGCACGTATATTCTCCTGTTGTTTTTAATGCTGAGCTTCAGGGAAGAAGTTCAAGTGGACTAAGAGGTAATGAATGCAATGTAACTAGCATGTCTTGAAAAAACTGGTGAACAATTAACCACGCCACAATTCAGAAATATGCGCATGCATAAGGCAGTTTCTAGAGGCGCTAAAGCCAACTTACCATAAACTTACCACCATAAATGCAGTTTGTTGTTGATGGAAGTAGTCAGTCATGGATCAGTTGGCTGTAAACACGTGAAATTATTACATTAGGTATTACGCCAACCTACACGTAAACCGGCTACCGGCCATATTGAATACCACGACTCTGCACAAATAAAAAATAAAAAATACAGCACACAGTGCTGCGCCAGGCAGTTCTATAAAGCTGAAGGCCTCACCAAGTCTAAATCCGACAATAGATACAGGACATTAGAGGCACATTGGGCATAAGAATATGTTGCCAGGAAAACTGTCACGAGAACTAACGTCTTCTCATGTACACACGTGGGGTTCATGTACACACGTGTTATGTGTGTATTTGTGATTGTTACTGTTACGCGTTTCTGGTTACGTTTGTCATGTGTTTTACATTGTGAAGACGTGTATATTTTCTTTTTGGGTATTTTTCTGTATGCACACTCATCCAACCTCGTTATGTTTACCAGTGTGTTCATACGTTAATCTCTCTCTGCATAAAAAAGGGTGGGTGAAAAAAAAAGAGGGTGGGGGGGGGGGGGTTTAGAGAACATTGCCAAAAATAAAGACAATAAATTTTCCAACAAGGTCAGATTGTTTGGTCAGGGAATCCTTAACGCCCGCGCCTTTTGGAAAACCCTCCAGTCATTAAATTGTTATTTACACAAGAGGCGGAAACAACATCACTAGCGCAAACCGCACCACGACCATGTATTGTTTACCCTTGTAGTACGCTAGAATAACAAAACCAGAAGTGAAAGTTGTAGCAGATAGCAAGGTACACACAAGCCATTGCAAGTATAAACTTACCAACAAAACGCTCTAGCACGGTCGTGCTCCGGTTGACGTGTAAAAAGATAACAAGCCGAGATGGGTACAGAACGAAAAAAAAGTAGACAAGAAAGACGGCATGCTGGTCGTTGAAAGTATAAACTTACCGACAAAAATGTGGTAACACCGCCTTGCCGTGGTCGGGTGCGCGAGAAACACTTAAAAGGTGTGACTGCGAGAGAGAGAGAGAGAGAGAGAGAGAGAGAGAGAAAGAAAGAAACTGGGAGGGAAGCCAGGAAGGGTGTTCGTAGCCTTCGTCAACTGGGAGTCACATTTTACCAGACAGGGAGAGACAATCCCACTTGATTGCCGTCTATGGTAAAATGGGCGGAGCGACTTCGGCGGGAGTCGGAAACACACAAGAACGCAACGCTGATTAGCCGCTGCTGCTGTCAGTCACCCATGGCACCGCCTCCTGACGTTCGCCCCCTTCCGCTGCCTCGGTCATTCTCGGCGGTAGATCTGCGTGCGGGCAGACGCTGAAACAGGAAACTGGCGATCCCGACGGCGAGGTTTTCCTCCCACGACTCTTGTTTTAAAAGTTACACGTTGGATACGATGTGAATGCATTTCTCCGAGGATATTACTGCTACCCGTAGTATAACTTTGTTTAAACTGTGTTGGATGTCCACAGTGTTCTCGGAGTATCCCTACATTGTGTTTGTGTGAACTTCAGACTGTTTTTCTTACACAGAAACGAAATACGTTCGGCTAACGTTCTACATACATGGATTAATTTATTCTGCGCAGAAACATTCCTGATAGTTGCGTGTGCGACCATTCTCCGATGAGAACTTGATATTATGGATTAAAGGACAGCTGTGTTAAAGATTAACCTTCCTTTAAAAAGTTGCATAAGTTTTTGTGTGACAGCCTTCAGTTATGAGTGTGTCCAGGACACGTGACCCTGCTTGTGATCTCACCGTCCAGCCTACAGTGAGCACCCTACACATTCCCGCCTCGCACACTTTTATCCCCTTTCAGCAATTCTCCATTTCCGACGGCTCGGGTATCCGGAATCCGGCTGACGACAACAACAACAAGACAGGTCTGCCTGTGGTCTCCGTTGTAACGGCCGTGTCTGGGTTGTGTCCGGCGATTCCTGTGGTCAGTATGCATCAGACAGCGCAACTCGCTCAAGCAGTGGTCACGCCGACCATCATCCCAGCTGTGGTCACTCCGATGACTGTCCAAACTGCCAACTGTCTAACTCCGACTACAACGATGACAGTGGCCAACACACTCAACATCGGCAGCCATATCTCAGTGCCGGTTCAGCACCATACTGTCAGCATTGCCGGAATTAACGTCAGTGCTCAATCCGTGGCACCCATCAGTAACAGTATGAACGCTACAACCTTCACCAACAACAACCAAAACACTACACCCACGACTTTGAACAAACCAACCGTCTCCAGCAACGGCACCAACAATAGCTCTTCCCCCAACGCTACAAATTTTTCTAAAACAAACAGCAGTAACTCGTCCAAACCGCCCTCAACCCAGAGCTCGGCCACAGAGCAGAACGAGGACCTGGTCAAACCAGTGTTTAAAGATGGAGAACTTGTGCTAGAAGTAGAATGTGGACAAAATAAAGCTATTCTTTACCTCTCCAAGCTATGTCAGGGTAGCAAAGGTCCGTGCATCAGTTTTCAGAGCTCCTGGCTCACGCCCAATGAGTTTCAGTTTGTGTCTGGCAGAGAGACTGCCAAAGATTGGAAGCGATCAATCCGTCACCATGGCAAAAGTTTAAAACTGCTACTGGCCAAAGGGATTCTTAACGTGCACCCCACAATGTGTGACTGCGATGGATGCCGACAGGGGGCGACACTGGTGAGTAATAATACTTGTCTTGTGGTGTCTTCAGCAATACCTTCTTCACTTTCATCGGTTTTTAATTAACGGAAATCTTGGGTATTCGCCTAATTTTGGTCTAGTTACAGGAGTTTTGCATGCACATCAGTTTTACAGATGGATGTGTGGTCTACGCTGTACTTTTGAACTGTTTCTCCGCCCATGGCTGAGCTTGTGTGATTTGGGGTGTATGTGTATCATTGGTGAGTGATTTAACTGCTATAGGTAGGACATTCATTCAGTGTAGTCCAGTGGTGGCTGTGTCGCCCACAGGAATTGCATGTACCTTCACACAAAGAGCTACACACACAAAACTGCTGGAACCTTGTGGTATGGACTGTGACTTTACTGTCACACACATACTGCCAGCCACATGATATATTGTAACTCTGCGTGACATACTTTACATGCCAACCACATGACATTCTGCCAACCACATGACATACTGTAACACTGCCAACCACATGACATAAACCATGACAACTGTCACACTGCCAACTGTCACACTGCCAACTACAAGAGCTTCTGTCACACAGTGCATCTTCCACACCCTCCCAATGAAGAACCGAGCTCATGCACTAGTGACCCCATGCTCCAGTGCAAGTCAGCCGTAAACAAAGGCTGGCGGCGTTCAGAAGGTGACAGCCATTACGTTACTATTGTCTCACTGACGGCAGGTTGTGAATAGAGCACTGGTGCTGTGCCAGCGGCTGACACCAAGTCATCCTGTTCACTAGACGGTTGGGTCGCTGTAGCGTTGTATGCTACTTGAAGACTGCTTCACCTCTTCCTCCTCCTCCTGATTCACCTTCATTGTCCTTCTCTTCCTTGCTGCTGCCTCTGTCGCTTCGAATCTGGCACAGTAACACTGTGAACTCACGGCGGAACCCTTCCGTTGTACAGAGTGAAGCACCCGTTTTCGCGCCTTTACTTGTATTGGACACACAGCTTTCTCCAGGCCTATATTTAATAGATCATTCGGCACTCAGCGACTGATGTGGTCAGCATAAAGCCGGCCACCTTTACTTCCCAAGAATTTACACATCGTACCCACTAAAGGCTGGGTTCCATAATCATTAAAAAAAAGGATAGGCTCCGGTCGAATTTGAGCCTGTTACCTTCGGATCCACGGGCAAGCGTCTACCCGCTACACTCTAGACGTTACCTGGTGTATGGGGATTAAGACTAAAAAAATAAACTTTGTTCAGATACATACCAGGTCAAACATATTGTATGTTGACAGAACAGAAAGAATACACAGACCAGATACGTCTTGCTGTATAAAGACACACATGACACTCTATAGAGACACACTAAAACACACTGTATAGAGACACACACAACACACTGTATAGAGACACACTGAAACACACAACACACTGTATAGAGACACACTGAAACACACAACACACTGTATAGAGACACACTGAAACACACAACACACTGTATAGAGACACACTGAAACACACAACACACTGTATAAAGACAGACTAAAGCACACAACACACTGTACAGAGACAGACAAACTGAAACACACAACACACTGTATAGAGACAGACACACTGAAACACACAACACACTGTATAGAGAATGAGACAAACTAAAACACACACAACACACTGTATAGAGACACACTAAAATACACAACACACTGTATAGAGACTGGGATAGACTAAAACACACAACACACTGTATAGAGACTGGGATAGACTAAAACACACAACACACTGTATAGAGACTGGGATAGACTAAAACACACAACACACTGTATAGAGACTGGGATAGACTGAAACACACAACACACTGTATAGAGACTGGGATAGACTAAAACACACAACACACTGTATAGAGACTGGGATAGACTAAAACACACAACACACTGTATAGAGACTGGGATAGACTGAAACACACAACACACTGTATAGAGACTGGGATAGACTAAAACACACAACACACTGTAGATATAGAGACACACTAAAACACACTGTATAGAGAATGAGACAAACTAAAACACACACAACACACTGTATAGAGACACACTAAAATACACAACACACTGTATAGAGACTGGGATAGACTAAAACACACAACACACTGTATAGAGACTGGGATAGACTAAAACACACAACACACTGTATAGAGACTGGGATAGACTAAAACACACAACACACTGTATAGAGACTGGGATAGACTGAAACACACAACACACTGTATAGAGACTGGGATAGACTATAACACACAACACACTGTATAGAGACTGGGATAGACTAAAACACACAACACACTGTATAGAGACTGGGATAGACTAAAACACACAACACACTGTAGATATAGAGACACACTAAAACACACAGCACACTGTAGATATAGAGACACACTGAAACACACAACACACTGTATAGAGACTGGGATAGACTAAAACACACAACACACTGTAGATATAGAGACACACTAAAACACACAACACACTGTAGATATAGAGACACACTAAAACACACAACACACTGTAGATATAGAGACACACTGAAACACACAACACACTGTATAGAGACTCACTGAAACACACAACACACTGTATAGAGAATGAGATAGACTAAAACACACAACACACTGTATAGAGACTGGGATAGACTAAAACACACAAAACACTGTATAGAGACTGGGATAGACTAAAACACACAACACACTGTATAGAGACTGGGATAGACTAAAACACACAACACACTGTAGATATAGAGACACACTAAAACACACAACACACTGTAGATATAGAGACACACTAAAACACACAACACATTGTATAGATGAGACAAACTAAAACACACTACAAATTGTATAGATGAGACAAACTAAAACACACAACACATTGTATAGATGAGACAAACTAAAACACACAACACATTGTATAGATGAGACAAACTAAAACACACAACACATTGTATAGAAGAAACACACAACACACTGTATAGAAGAGACAAACTAAAACACACAACACACTTTATAGAAGAGACAAACTTAAACACACAACACATTGTATAGAAGAAACACACAACACATTGTATAGAAGAAACACACAACACATTGTATAGAAGAAACACACAACACATTGTATAGAAGAAACACACATTGTATAGAAGAAACACACAACACATTGTATAAAAGAAACACACAACACAATGTATAGAAGAAACACACAACACATTGTATAGAAGAAACACACAACACAATGTATAGAAAAAACACACAACACATTGTATAGAAGAAACACACAACACACTGTGTTAAGGAAACACACAACACACTGTATTGAGGAAACACACAACACACTGTATTGAGGAAACACACAACACACTGTATTGAGAAAACACACAACACACTGTATTGAGGAAACACACAACACATTGTATTGAGGAAACACACAACACATTGTATTGAGGAAACACACAACACACTGTATTGAGGAAACACACAACACACTGTATTGAGGAAACACACAACACATTGTATTGAGGAAACACACAACACATTGTATTGAGGAAACACGCAACACATTGTATTGAGGAAACACGCAACACACTGTATTGAGGAAAAACACAACACATTGTATTGAGAAAACACACAACACATTGTATTAAGGAAACACAACACACTGTATTAAAGAAACACACAACACACTGTATTGGGGAAACACACAACACATTGTAGACGCAGAGAAACTGAAACAAATGGTTGTACTCTGGTGAAAATAAGAAAGTAGAGAACAACTTGTGACCCAGAGGATCAGAGTGTAAAATAAAACGTTACTTTGAAGATATTATTATTGTCTACATATATTTCGGTGACTGGAGTTATGTGGTCCAGGTGACGCAGATGTTAACTGAGTTCAAACCCTATGCCCAAGTGTTCGGCTACTTGAAATATTTGTGATCGATCCAAACCAGGTGACAGACGTTGTCCTTCAGCTCGAACGAATAGTAAAAAGGGTAATGTTATCCCCATGTGAAGTTGGAAGATAACGAATATGGAGAATTGGTGAGGTCTGCTGTGTCGCAATGGCAAACTCGCTTAAGGACAGGTCACAACGGCCATTAGACTGGCATCCTCAATCAAGGCATACTGCTGAAATTGATCTGGACTCATAGATAGGTGTAAAGTTTGTATTAGGAAATAATTGTGGCAATTATAATCGAAACCGGGCGGTTCCCAGGGTTCACCCAGCCTCTAGGAAATGGGTACCAGAGTTAACACTCTAGGGTAAATGAAGGGACGTCGCTGTAGCTACGGAGTTTCATGTGGACAGTGAAACAGTTTATAATCAGCTATCCGTACTGGTGGCAGAGCGCTTCTGGTTTATAACCGGGTGCAGTGACGCTGGTTCACATCTCCCAACTTCACCTCTATTTTTAGTGTGATCTTGATCATCATCATCCTTCGTGTGCTGTTAGATGTCACATAGGGCTTGATTCGATTCAGCCACTCCGCTCTACATTCAGGAACAGTTCAAACAGTGTGGGCATCTGGTCAGAGAGCAGCAGCATCATATACCAGCAGGAGGCTGCAGCAACGAAAATCTGAAATGAGACTAAGAGGGTGGGCAAGGAAGTGGTGTACTGACAACGGTAAAGACGTTGTTCACAGTGACATCAATCTGTCGTTTGGATACATATGTCTAAATGACCAGATACCAACCTCCAGTTACAAACTGTTACATGTATACTCATGTAACGGTAAAGTAAGTAGAGAAAAGGGGATGTGCCTTCAAGAAGTATTGTAATCAAAGCCATGCGCTGCACTTACCGTACCGAGAAGCACGCCAAAGGACATGATTCCATATTCCTGTCTAGACTGATGGACATGGGGGTGCAGCCTGGAGCTACAAAAAAATGAACATTTCACTAAGAGGACAAGACGTTTCATTAACCAACACAGAACAGGCATCATCAGTCATTTTACACGTGTAGAGCTTTTGATGAGGAGAT